GGTGGCAAGGGTATTTTCGTGTCTCGTGATTAGTAATTATTCGTGCATCGTGATTCGTGATTTAAAGAAATACCATTCCGTGAATCGTGATTAATATGCGTGCCGTGAATCGTGAAGAGCTAAAAGGCTAGCTAGGATCTTGAATTTACAAATATTATACCCTAACTTGTGAATGTTTACGTTTAAAACTCGACCCAAATGTAATATTATGGGGGGGAATTAATAAATTTGCTTCCCGCGGTGTCTTTCTTGAGGTTTCTTCGTTTCATCGGTAAACGTCGTTATCGTGTACCTTCGTACCTCTTCGTAAACTTCGTGAACCATCGTACGATGCTCGTAATGTTTCGTAATGCCTCGGAATGATTTCCATTGTCCTTTTAAAGTGTATATGCAAGGAAAAATGAAAAATTTAAAATTTCGAAATTTGGAAAGAAATTGTCTCCCTTAACTAGGTAAAAATATTTTTAGTTAGTAAAAGCGCTCTAAAAGTATTGAAAATGACCTAAAATGTACGACAAATACAGCTATTTTGAATCGTTACCTGATGAAAAGACTGGTACCGAAAATTCCGGCCTTGTGACGTATGCAGTGTGACACATCCAAGTGTTTACTTGAATGAAAACTACAAAATATCACTAATCGCAAGACAGTAGCTTGTATATATTTCCTTAAAAACGCAAAAAATGTCCGATAGCGAAAGCTTTGAATCACAGACAGATACAGAACAGCCAACAGATAACGAGGACGTTGTTGAGCCACAATCGTCTGTTGTACAGCCCTATCAGTTCGAGCCAGTTGCTGATCGTGACTAATGACTATGAGGAAGACGAAACAGGCGAAGACGGTCTTGAGGCGAGATTTACGAAAACCGTAGCTGCTAGTTCATGGTAAGTTTAACAAAGCAGTCTAATATCAAAGCGTTTCTCGATTTAGCGTGTTTCGTTTAACATGTGAATTGATTTTAGGTGCACATTTGAGATTCTTGAATGTATGGCCAAATTTACGTACGATGGAAAAGACGCTGAATGTATTATATAGCACTGGGGCTATCCTGTTATTACGCACCGAACACTCGAACAGTATATTACCGCAAATCAACAAGCAGAACTCAAGACGGGCAAAATGAGTAAGTCAAATTAATTTCACTAAATTTTGGTCAGTTTTCATCAGTATTTTCTATATATATTCGCAATAATCGCAAATGGTTGTATTTTGTAAGATTTTGAAACGTGTATTTTAATCTATCTATTGCTTTGAAACAGTGCATTCGTGAAGATAATAACTCAGTCTCAGTGTTCGATTGTTAATGTTTAGATACTTTGATACCTTCGCGCAGTGGCGTATATCGGTGGATAGTGAGATGCATGGATATTCGGCGTTATTGGCCATGCTCGGATGGGAAAACTCTAGACCGCTTCCCGCATGCCTGTATAATGAAATCTGGAAGAGGTATCCGTCTCAAAGCAACACTGGATAAAAAATAATCACAGCAGAGAACTGAGAACGTGATAAAAAGTGTACACTATGTTACGTAAATTGATATTGTAAATTATAAGTATAAATTAACCTAGTCAAATAAATGGTTCTTCACTCGGACTCTGTCGCGTGAGTATGATCGACTAAGAAGTATATATAGAGCGCTCCGGCCTCGGTGGTTAATACGGTAATGTAGCAGCTTGAATAAGATTGTTTTCTATTGGTCAGAGTACTAATTGGGTAGCGAAGGTAGCAAACCAATAGGAAGCCAGAGATTGTCAACATTTACCTTTGAACTTCCGGTTTATTTGTAAGATCATGAACAAGCAACTGGCAAATAAATTGAGCAAAAATATAGCTGAGAATACCCGAGTCTTTGTTTCTAAACTTGAATGTATTAATAAATCGTTCTGTGTATGCAATGTAAGTATCATTTAATAATGAATAGCGTAAAGATGTAAAACGGCAACGCACTTTTTGTGGCTTATTAAAAGCAAGTATTGTATTGTTTGTCACGTTGTTAAATTCGCTAAACTTCTGTGTGAATGTGATAGACTATCTGGCGTTCCCTCGAAACGTCGAAGTTTTGTCTATATATTTTCAGGTAGGCTATCACATTCACACCTCGATTTACACAGATGTTTTATCGAAGATTCTACCAGCGGTCCAGCACCAAGCGGCAAGTGTTCGAGATAAATTCGCTAATATTGCATAAAAACACGATGTAGTATATATTATACCACTGTGAAGTACGCATGAGATTCAACATGACATTCAACATGATATTCGATGTCGTGTAAATTAACTAATTTCAATCACTCAAAAGTCAAAATGATAAATACAGCCATTTCTTCTTTCCCAAATCAATTTGGGAGAAATAAACCATGCAGGTCACATTAGCTAACTACTACCTTTATGGTTATCCGCACACAAACCTACAAACGCATTTCAAAGCACTCCAAAACGATACTTTCCTAACAGCTATCCACACTGCCAACAAATATTCAATACAATTTGCTAAGAAATTTAAACTATAAATTTCTCCGCTGCTATTCTATAAGATTTTCTAAAACTTTCATATCTTGTACAGAATTATCTCCTATTTCCACTGATTATTTAACCTTGGGCGGCATCAATCTATAAACAATCGAAATTCGGCCTTATACTGTACGGTATTAACTGTAAGACAATACTAATTATAGATATATAGCGCGCACTGTCAAGAATAGCATTTTAAACTATAAATTTCTCCGCTGCTATTCTATAGGATTTTTTAAAACTTTCATATCTTGTACAGAATTATCTCCTCTTTCCACTGGTTATTCAAACTTGGCCGGCATCGGTCTATAAACAATCGAAATTCGGCCTCATTCTGTACGGTATTAACTGTAAGACAATACTAATTATAGATATAATATTATAGCGCGCACTCTCAAGAATAGCATTTTAAACTATAAATTTCTCCGCTGCTATTGTATAGGATTTTTCAAAACTTTCATATCTTGTATAAAATTATCTCCTCTTTCCACTGGTTATTTAACCTTGGGCGGCATCAATCTATAAACAATCGAAATTCGGCCTT